ACCCTGACGTGTTTCGTGCTAACCGCACATCATCAAAGGGGATAAGCTTCCCCCTTTGATGTGCGGTTAGCACGAAACGCGTCAGTGTAGGAGCTACAGCGTCACTATCGCCGCATCTTTTATGTTACATTGTATTATATATTTTTTCATATCATCAAACACATTATTTTTAGTTATTTATAATCAAATTAATTACAGCACTGGGCATGTTTTAATTTAAGTTATAATATATCATTATGAGATAATATTTATTTATTTATTTAGATTTATTCATTTAATTTATGAGGAGCGCGACACATATAATATTTTATTAGAGAATCTGATTGACTGTACTTGAGATGTGTTCATGGTTTGAAAACCTCGTCTCTGTTTTATAGTTCTTGTGTGTGTGTGTGTGTGTGTACAATACTGTGCAAAAGTCTTACGTAGGTTTAAAATTAAGAATGCTTTCAGAAATAGAAGTGTTCATAGTTTATTTTTATCAACAACAAGAGTAAATGGACAAGAGAAATCCAAATCAATATTTGCTGTGACCATCATTTGTCTTCAAAACGTCATCAATTCTTGCACACAGTTTTTGAAGGAATTCGGCAGGTAGGTTGTTCCAGACATCTTGGAGAACCAACCGCAGATCTTCTGTGATTGTAGGCTGCTTCAAATCCTTCTGTCACTTCATGTAATCCCAGATAGACTCCATGATATTGAGATCAGGACTCTGGAAGCCCATCCATCACTTCCACGATTCCTTGTTTTTCTGTACACTGAAGACAGTTCTTAATAACATTGTATGTTTGGGGTCATTGTCCTGTGCAGAATAAATTTGGGGCTAATCACACGTCCTCTTGATGGTATGACATGATGATGGCTAAGTATCTGCCTGCATCTCTCAGCATTGATGTGTATATGAATATGTACTCAAGTGTACACAACCCATGTTTGTTCATTACAGAACTCCAGCTTAGTATTGGTGCACAATGACTGTGTCTTCCTCTTAGTGCAAGTCTTTGGGTCAGGTGTAAAGCCAACTTACTTCAGCCATCCGTAATGAAGATCTCCAGTGACATTTGTAAAAAAATTAACAGTCATCAGCTACAAAAACTGTAGCTACTGACTTTTAATAAAGAGCCAGTCACCTATCCCAAGATCCAGCAGTATCCTCACCTGGGCTGGTTTCTTCTCCGGTCTTCGGTCACTGGCAGCATCATCTTAACTGTGGGCAGCCAGCTGTGTATGCTTGCTGCTTCACTGCCTACTGTGCATGCGTGAGCCATGTTGTGCCTTGTGAATGGTGCTGCAGTCTTTTAGGACTTGTGACTTGTCCCAGAAGACTGGGGGAGGGGGGACTTGGCCTAGACGATCTGAGCAGGAGTGGGTACAGCAGCAGGTACCCCCTTCCCCACCAAGAAATCAGGTGCCAAATATGCTGGGGGGAAGAAAGAACAGCAGAACTTCCCCTAACAATTGTAGATTTATTATGTTTTTAAAAGGCATTGCACTCACATGTACGAATAAATAAAAACACTATAAAATACTTAACATAATAAAGCTACAGTTGTTAGTACCAGGGGCGGACTGACAACTCATAGGGCCACCGGGCAATAGGGGATCATGGGGCCCCTGTTTCCTTGACCAAACTCAAAAAAAACCTATGAAAAAGGTACCAGGGGCATCTCATCGGGCCCCGTACTGACCCCGGGCCCTCGGGCAGTGCCCAAGTTCCCAAATGGTCAGTCCGCCCTGGTTAGTACATACTGCACCATTGGAATGTCTGTTTGTCTCCTCCATTAAGGGCGATTATCTCAGACCTCCAACACCCCCCCCCCCCCCCCCCCTTGTTAAAGGGACCGGATCACATATCTGGCATGATGTTGTTTTAAAAGTTCAAAGATGCTGTATCACTTCTTTATGGTTAATGATCGGTAGAGTGAAGGAATCCTTACTGATTTGGCATTACAAAGCGCAATTTGATTGGTCTGAGGTGAGAGTTCTGTGAGCACTGAGGTGACATCATCTGCATGTTTATAGCACTGATCTGATGGTGTGGGTTTGAGCACATAAAGAAGCAAATGAGCTGTGAAGAGTTGGTGGATTGTCTGTAATACACTTATTATTTCACCTACTATGGACTTGGTTCATGAACATTTATTTATATTGCTTTGAATCATCACACTTTATACATACTGTATTTTGTTTATTCATTTTGGTTATTTGTATAATGTACTTGGAGCGCAGCACTGATTTTATTTTTTGTTAATGGTGGATGAAAACTGCATGTTGGAATTAAAATCAGTAGTTTAGTTTCCAGAAATCTAAACTGCTGAAGTTGAATACAACTTGAATTTCCGAGCTTGGCTAGCACTTTGTCTTGCCTCTCAAGCTTCCTTGTCAGTTCTCCTACTGATGAACAATCCCATTGTTGTAAAGTGCTCAGGAGGGGTGGGTATGGCATGGTCCAATTCAGAGTATCCAGAAAAATATACAGCATAACAGCTGTTTTTGTTTTGTTTTTATCTACTAATATATTTTTTTTTTTTTCTAGTGTAGTAGTTAGCATGTGTTGTTGTGGGCATTTGTTTCTTGTGAATGACAGTGCTTCTGTCCAGTGTGGTCATTCAGAATACAAGCCAACAGTTACTGCAGTTCTCTCCCTCCTCCAGACTGAGATAGCAGGCAGTTGGTGAGTGGGGCAGGTCTGTGCTCAGTAGTTTTCTTTTTAGTAAACAATAGATTGCAGAGGAGGCACAAGACTTCACAATTGGACAGCAGAGCTACGGATTGAAAGGGGGGTGCAGGGGGAATGGCTTCACTGCTGGCTGTACCTCTCACATGGGGGGGAAAAGCCCCCATAAATTGGACATCAGTCTCGGGTGGTGCTGCCAGCAGCACTGACAGGAAGCAAAATGTAAAAAAAAAAATCACTGCTATGTGCACTGGACCTTTGGAGGATTCAATAAGAGTTTTAGAATTCTGGTCTTCTATAAAGTGCATGTAAAGGCAAAACCTAAAACCCCCCCCCCCCCAGGAAGCTTGGAATGTCACCTGGTTCCATCACTTTGCTTTTGTATGGCACATGTAGTAGAAAAGTATTTGTTACTGGAGAAATATATACTTGGCATTTCAAAACTGATCTACCATTATCAAGAGTCACATGTGTTACAGGTGGCTGTACACAGATATTCACTTATCTTAAGAGTCGAGTATTAAACACTGCATGGAAGCTGCTTTCACATGTGATAGGTGCAGTACCACCTGCTTGTGAAATCTCATGTTGCACAACCATATGTTGTAGTAGTGATGGCTACTACAGTGGTTCTTCACTTCCCCAGGAACCAGACAGGTATGACATATGCATGCTTGCATCGGTCCAAGCTGGATAAATGTAACTATGTAAGGAAACACCATATCTGGAATTCAGCTTTATTGTTAAAACAATTTTTCCAGGAGCATGTATAAAAATGTCTTTGTCAAACCTCTTAAATTATAAAGACAGCACTTTTTAATTGTAATTTTGGATAGTGCATAGAGGGATTAGGAGACCTGACAGGTTTTATTGTTGTCTTTGCCTCCGTTGGGGAGATTCACCCTCTATTTGTCCTGTTTACCATTATCATCTGAGGTGAAAGTAAAAGTAAAATCCCAAAAATCTTGGCTTGTCCCCAAAACAGGAACGGAGGGGAAATCTTCCAATGGGGACAATAATTTGGAGAGATTTCCTCACTTCCTGTTGTGGCTATGGGACAGGAAGTGAAGGAAAATCTCCCCAATGGGACAGAAATGGGGGAAAAAAAAAAAAAAACCCTGACAGGTTTTAAGCCTCCTTTAGTCTTCTCCAAATAGGAAAAAAAAGTTTTTTGTTTTTAGTTCAACTTTAAGGGCTGGTTCACGTCACAAAAGGTAGTTCTTGTTTCTTGGAATTGTTTATCATGTTGGTGCTTGCAGCTGCACGTTGGGGAGAGTGGTGTGCAAAATTTATTGAATACTGTACACCAAAAAAAGGTGCATTTAGATGCTCGGGAAAAGGCAAAAACTAAAACGGGCATGATTTTTAAAATCACACACGGAACTAGGGATTGCAACAAAACATTCACATTTTGCCAATAGGAAAAAGTGAGCCGATCTAGGTGCCGATAGTGAGGGGTGAACTGACTGTTTGGGGGGGGCGCTTTGTGTATTGTAGATGAATGAATGCAATTTCTGGCTTTTTTTTTTTTTTTTTGCTATAGCTCCTAAAAGGAGCTGTCATTTGCCCCGCCTCTAAAGTTAAAAAAGTGGTGAGGGCATCTAGTGGCATTACCCAGTGACCCCACCCCTTTGTTTAATTTAGCGGCGGGGTAAATGACAGCTCCTTTTCGGAGCTATAAAGTGAAGGGGGAAAAAAAAGCTGGCAATTGTATTTAAAAACCGACAATGACATTTAGTGGGTGGCAAATGAGGGAGCCTGTCTGTATACAGTGCTCCCCCACTGTATACACGGCTCCTCTGCTGCCCCCTCCTTGCATACACTCCCCCCCTCCTCCCCTCACAAAGAGGACATGTCACTTATATGCTATCACATAGGGGACTATTGATCCCCTATGTGATAGCAATAAAATCAGAAGTTGAAAAAAATAAATTAACACATTAACAGTAAAAAAAAATTTTTTTACATTTGAGCCTCCCACCCCCACACACACAGACATTTCTATTTTGGTTTTCGGCCAACTGCATCCTGAATTTTTGGTTTCTGTGCCAGAATTTGCATTTCGGTGCACCACTACACAGACCCAAATCGCATGACACTGTGTTACCCTGCGTTTTGGTGGCCACAAATGTACCAGTGTTTCCATAGATGCTTAATATTTAATGGCACCCACCCGCATCTGCATTCAGCAGCGATTTCCTGTGCGGTGTGGGAAAACGTGTTTTCCGCACTGCAAGTGGTAAGAACAAGCCCTAACTGTACAGTCCTAAATGTAAACATTGTCAAATAATTTGCTTTTTTATGGGTTTGTTTTCACATTGTAATTTTTTTTTTTCCTTCTAAACAGGGCCATGCACTGTTAATCAGAGAAATTGATGTAGAGAAGGTATCCACATTTGATAATCCCTATGTAGATGCAATAAAATATCTATGGAATGATCCTGGGATACAAGAATGCTATGACAGGCGAAGGGAATATCAGCTGTCTGACTCTACTAAATAGTAAGTATCATGACTTGTGATAAGTCCAAATTTCTCATTATGGCTAAGCTGTACAATAAAGTAATTGGTGAAAACTGTTCTATAATCCAGTTCTTCTCAAGGCTTCTCCCACTCTTAACACATACAGCCTTCTCCCAAGAAAAGTGGCATGTGTTTGACCTAGATGGTCAAATTTTCTACTGTAGTGTAGATGGGAATGTAACTGCTGTCTTTCTTCATATAAAAAAAATAATCAATATGATGGCTTTTAGGAAGCACCAGAAAAATGCAGATTTTCCATTCTTAGTCCTTTTCTTTTCTTTTTTAATCCAGCTCCATGGTTTCACAGTGCTGCCTTATACGAGTCACATTTCTGAGTTCATTTGTCACATGCCTGTTGTGCAAACATGACCTCTTCTGTGCTGAAGACAAGCTAAAAAAAATGTATAGAAAACAAGCTGGCGAGGTTATGCAAGCATTACTAGATCTATAAATTTATTTCTGCAGAATGAAAAAAATAGGTTGTACAAAGTCTCCAGAGGCAGTATTTATAACAGAATTTTAATGTATGAAAACCACAGGTAAGCAAGATGCGTCATTGCTTTCTCAGCAGTGCCTTGCATCAGAAAATGTACTGTTGTGAAGGAAGTTAAGTAAGAACTCCATTAAGCACAGATTTGCATCTAAACTGACCACGTAATATTACACCAATTACAGGGAAAACTGGAAAAGGTAAACATTAAGAGCCTGATATATAAAACGTGTTTTAGGAAAACTTTTTTTTTTTTTTTGTGCATCTGACACATTTTTGTGTGTCTCCATTGTTCTCCGCTAGAAATCTAGTTGTTTGGTTGTCATGCTAGAAGAGGCTGCAAGTTTTTGGTTCACATCATCAGCAAACAAAACAGAACTACAGACACAAAGCAGTTTTTGGTGCCTGTAGATGGTCAAAGATTGGTAGACTTTCAAATAAACAAAAACTCTTAAGCAAACTTAGGTGTTTTTCTAATCCTTAATGGGTCAAATCAACATTCGTGTTTGACCACAGTTATGAAAATGGTTCAAATCAACATTCATGTTTGACTGCAGTGATGAGAAAATTCGAAAGAGTAGGATGGGAAAATTTTTCTTGAAGGAACACATTTCTAACAGTGCATGTGGTTTTTGTTAAAGTCCATTCATTCCAAAACCAAATGTTAAAGCAAGCTAAATTCTATCGTTTGAAATTCTATCTATCTATCTATGGCCAGCTTTAGAGGATCAACTATTGTATATTGTATTATGGGGAGCGTGGGATCACCAGCCAGCTGCTTGTAAACGTAAACTGCTTTTATTATACTTTCAACACCAAGCAGACAAAACCGCTTCGTCAACAAAACAAACGTAAAACAGTCTATAATTCTGGTATAATGAAAATAACACAATGGCTCACCTCCAGTATATATCAGTTCTACTGCAGGGTTTAAGGTTCTCTTCTGCTTCGAGGTACCGCAAAGGCCGCAGGAGCTCAGCAAACCCGTGTCTGTTTCCAAACAGTCCAAACTTTCTCATAGCTGTTCCACCTTTACCAAGGACAGGTGCGCTTTGTCCTTCCAGCTCCTTTTCAGGTCTTTCTGCAGGCAGGTTAACCCTATTGGAAACCTCCAGATTCTGGGTCTCAAATGAGGTCTTGCCAATCTGTAAATCAGTTTCTCCTTTCCAACTGGACTACTCCAGAACCCCTTACCTTGCATGGGTGAGAATCCAAAAAATGTCTCTCATTGTCCCCCTTAAAGGGACCACAACTCAAATAATGGGGAAATACACACCTGCACAGGACCTATTCAGTATATAATCACTTTTCTCAGATTTGGAAACCAAGAGTAAAACACGGTAAATTGGATCAAATCATCTCTGCCACTACAAACTTCAAATGATATATATTATTTTTGACCAAAATTCATATTTTAGGTCAGGCTGATTTTTTTTTTTTTTTTTTTTTACTGGGGATTCCTTGCTGAGTTGTAGCAGTTTACTTGCCCTGTCTCGAAAGACTTGCTGCTTGTGAGTGGCTGTGTATATGAGGAGGATTTAGATGCCCTCCTTTGTATATAGGGTATAAGTACAGTTAGGTCCATATATATTTGGACACAGGCACAATTTTAGATTTTTCAGGTATTTACCAAAACATATTCAAGCTATAGTTATATCATGAATATGGGAAGAAAGTGCACACACTCAGGTTTAATTTGAGGGTATGTACATTCAAATTGGAGGAAGGGTTTAGGAATTACAATTCTTAAGAGTAGCCATCTCCCCTTTCTCAGGGGACCAAAAGTATTTGGACAATTGAATCAAAAGGTGTTTCAAGGCCAGGTGTGGGCTACTCCTCCGTTTATTTCTTCATCAATTAAGCAGGTAAAAGGTCTGGAGTTAATTATAAGTGTGGTATTTGCATTTGGAATCTATTGATGTGAACCTGCATAATGCCTTCAAAGGAGCTGTCCATGCAAGTGAAACAGGCATTGTATGGATTCAAAAATGAACAAATTCATCAGAGAGATAGCAGCAACATTAGGAGTGGCCAAATCAATAGTTTGGTACATTCTGAGGAAAGCAGAATGCACTGGTGAGCTCAGCAACATAAAAAGGCATGGACGTCCACAGAAGACAACAGTGGTGGATGATCGCATGATCTATGGTAAAGAAAAACCCATTCACAACATCCAGACAAGTGAAGGACACTCTCCAGGAGGTGGGAGTATCATTGTCAGTCTGCAGTCAAGAGAAGACTTCCCGAGAGCAAATAGAGAGGATTCACCACAAGGTGCAAACCTTTCATAAGCCTAAAGAATAGAAAAGCCAGATTAGACTTTGCCAAAAAACATCTAAAAAAGCCAGACCAGTTCTGGAAAAGCATTCTTTGGACATATGAAAATAAGATTAATCTGTACCAAAATGACGGGAAGAAAAAAGTGTGGAGAAGGCTTGGAACAGCTATAGTCCAAAGCACACAACGTCATCTATAAAACATGGTGGAGGCTGTGTGATGACATGGGCATGTATGGCTTCCAGTGGCACTGAATCATTGGTGTTTATTGATAATGTGACAAAGACAGAAGCAGCTGGATGAATTCTGCAGTGTTTACAGATATGCTGTCAGCCCAGATTCAGCCAAATGCGGCAAAGTTGAGTGGACGGCGCTTCACAGTACAGATGGACAAAAATCCAAAACGTACTGCAAAAGCAATTCAGGTGCTTTTGAAGGAAAAGAAGCGTAATATTCTGCAGTGGCCGAGTCAATCACCTGATCTCAAATCAACTGAACATGCATTTCACTTGCCGAAGGCAAAACTAAAGGCAGAAGGACCCACAAACAAAGAACAACTGAAGACAGCTGCAGTTAGAGCCTGGCAAGCATCAGAAAGGAGGAAACCCAGTCATTGGTAATGCCCATGGGTTCCAGACTTCAGGCTGTCATTGCCAGTAAAGGATTCTCAGCACAATATTACAAATTAGCATTTTATTTATGATTATATTCAATTGTCTATATTTATTTTGTGTTCATACCCACTTTGCACATCAAGGCATTGTGCCGTGACTTTCTCTGAATGTTGGACCTTAATGTGCATGACTTAGAAGAGTTATAAGCTGTTGACATCACACACATTTGAAGCTGATTGCTTTCAGCTGATAAAGAGGTTTTTTTTTTTTTTTTTTTTTCCCCCCCACTCAAGACAGGTTTATGATATAAATGATCAAAAAAAACTGTCCATGGATATTGCATTCAGTTGTTAGCAGCCATGTATAAATTATCCTAAAGCTGAGCTCCATTAAGATTCACATAATATGTTGCAATGTACATGTAGCTAGGGATATCAAATGTTTTTGGTCAGTATTTTTCCCACATGCAACTTTTTTCTATGTGTTTGTAGCCTGTATACTGTTTCTCTGACATGTTTAATTGCCATCTGTTCTCTTGTGTTCTATTACAGCTATCTTAATGACCTGGACCGTATCGCTTGTAACGGATATCTACCTACCCAACAAGATGTGCTCAGAGTCAGAGTGCCCACAACAGGAATTATTGAATATCCATTCGATTTACAAAGTGTCATCTTCAGGTAGAGAATGATTGCATGTAACTGCTCTTGCATGCTGTAACCACAGATCATTTTTTGATACAAACAGGGATACCAAAAATCATCTCTCCGTATCAGCAAAGTAGGACCTTTTGTATTCTTAAAATTATTACCGTGGTCAAAAATTAGATCAAAATGTATTTAATCAAGCCTGTAATTTCAGACTAACCAGTTAGTTTGGCCAAAATGGTACATATGCATAGTACATCCTTAAAGCGTATTTCCACTTTTTTAACCATATTTGGATAACGCCCTCAAACCCCTCGTGTATTGTTACTGTACTGTCTCATGTACTATCTCCCATTATAATGTACAGCGCTGAGCAAACCATTGGCGCTATATAAATACTGTATAATAATAACAACGCCTACTTTTCGTTTTACATGACCCATCCCCATTAACATAGCATAACTTAAAACAAAATGTTTAAAATTTGCTGGTTACGTTTTCTGTGCTTGTTTGTTTTCTTTTAAGCATTTTACCTGCTTTGTAATGTGTAAAAGGGGTTTTACCATAGTTAAAGTAGACTTAAAGGCAAGCTTTTTTTTCATTTTGGATAAAGCAGGATTATAACCCCATCAGCGGTTTTTTTTTTTTTTTTTTTTTTTTTTTTTTTTTGCAATCTCTGTCCCATTGGCCCCATAGCCAAAATCAGAAGTGAGAATTCTTCCAAAGTGAAGGAATCCCTGGTTGTCACCAGAACTAGTGTCCTATTTGGAAGGCTTTTTCCTCTATTCTGTTCTAGTGACAACCCAAAATTTGGGATTTTCTTTCACTTTCAGTGATAATGGTAAACAGGACAAAAAGAGAAGGTGAATCTCCCTAATAGGAACACAGACAGCAATAAACACCCAATAGGTGTTCTAATCCCTCTCCACTTTATCCACAAAAAAAAAAAAAAAAAAAAACGTATTTTACATTTATTGGATTTGATTTTTTTTACATTTGTATTCATTATATTATGTAAAAAGTTGAATATAATACAAATATATATTAACCACTTCCAGTCCGGACACTTTTACCCCCTTCCTGTCCAGGCCAATTTTCAGCTTTCAGTGCTATCACACTTTGAATGACAATTGGGCGGTCATGCAACACTGTAACCATATGAATTTTTTAGCATTTTTTGAGACAGGTAAAGCTTTATTTTGGTGGTATTTATTCACCACTGGGATTTTTATTTTTTTTTGCTATGTAAATGAAAAAGTCCAAAAATTTTGAAAAAAAGTGTTTTTCTTATAAAATTTTGCAAATAAATAGTATTTCATCATAAATCTTGGCCAAAATTTATTCCGTATATCTTTTTAGTAAAAAAAAAACAAATTGGTCTATAACCAAAAATTATAATTTTTAAACATTTATTACATTTTTTTTTTTTTTTTTTTTTAATTCTCTTATATTATTATTATTTGTTTTTTTTTTTTTTTTTTTTTACATACTGTTACCCTAGCAGTACAGTGTCACCATGGTGGGGGGGTGATGAAGATTTTTTTTTTTTTTTTTTTTTTTTTTTTTTTAACACTGATTGCTTTTGCACCCATAAAGGCTGTAAAAGCAATAATTTCTCCTTCTCTCTAGCTGCATTCTTGCAGCCATTGAGAACTACTGTGTAAGCTGTGATTTGTCACAGCTTGTCACGTGGTACAAGGCTGTTGTGAATAGCCTTGTACCATGTGACCTCTAATCATTCACAGATTTCACACGTAGTAAGTAATGATGTCAGAAGTGACATCTTGCTTACTACTCTGCATGTGATCACTGATTGGCCAATCAGTGATTACATGATCGGGACCTCACACAACGATCGGTATTCCACTGTGTCTGGAGGACACAGCAGGCACTGTATCGTGGTTTATAAACGGCCACCCGACCCTGCACTGCCACCGTCCAGCCGTTTATATACATGGGCTGGGAGGTGGTTAAGAACATGTATTTTTTAAAAACTGTCCATTTCTGTTTCTTTTTTTTTTTGGCCAAGTGCATCCTCAATTTTTGGTTTCTTCCCAGAATTTACATTTCGGTGCACCACTATTTCTAGCCAATCTCACAGCATCTCTGTCCCCACAGTTTTTCAGTACAATGTTCCAGTCTACCTAATCACTTCAATACCGGTCACTTTTACCCCCTTTCTGCCAAAGCCAACTTTCAGCTTTCAGTGTTGTCCCACTTTGAATGACAATCGTGTGGTCATGCAACACTGTACTCATAAAAAAATTTTATCATTTTTTTAACATAAATATAGCTTTCTTTTGGTGGTATTTAATCACCACAAAATTTTTTATTTTTTGCTAAATAAAAAAAAAACCTAAAACGTTTGAAAAAACCCAATTTTTCTGAGTTTCTGTTACAAAATTTTGCAAATAAATAACATTTCTTCATAAATTTAGGTCAAAATGTATACTGCTACATTTCTTTATGAAAATACCCCAAATTAGTGTATATTATTTAGTCTGTAGGAAAGTTATAGAGTCCACAAACCATGGTACTGTATATATATATCAGACAGTCGATCAATCCTGATGTACTGATGGCCCATCTCATTTCTTAAGGTCTATGTCAGGATAGTACAAATACCCCCCAAATTACTCATTTTGGAAAATAGTTCAAGGTATTTAGTAAGAGGCATGGTGAGTTTTTTTTTTTTTTTTTTTTTTTTTTTTTTACATATTGTCACCATTTTTTTTTTTTCAAATTTTTCTGTTATTTTTATTACAATATTTTTCTTGCATTTTTTTTTTTAAACCCACTGTGACCAAAGCAATACCAGGTTACCATAGTAACATTGAACTACTCTGGGAAAGTGATCATGATTTTTTTTAAACACATTATGATTGCTAATACCAGTGTATTTTATTGATATTTGCAATCATTATTACTGAATGAAACTGATTCATTCAGTCTTTTGTTGTGATTAGCTGTGATTGGGCAAAGCTCATCACATGATACAGAGGCTGTGATTGACCCTGTCTGTACCATGTGACTGCTTTGTCCAATCAGAGCTAACACAATTGTATACAATGGATGGCATGACAGGAAGCCCATGCATTGTATACAATTGACATGTGATCTGCTGTGATTGTTCACATGACACTGGCAACGGATCATGCTGCTGCATGGCCCTGCGGCCACGTGAGCGCCTCCTTTTGACATATGACACCCAGTCATCAGGAGTGTCCCACCCGGCCGTCAAACTGCTATAGGCCAGGTGGAAAGGTGTAAAACAACTGAAGATCTGGCAGTACAGTACATACAGGGTTACAGTAAGCCTAAAAGACGAGCCTTTTTTTTTTTCCATGAACGTAACACACAAAAATTGGACAGAAAATAAAATTAAATATATATAAAATTAAAAAAGTAAATAGAGGCATTTTTGTATTGAAGTCGATAGGGGGCATTTTTGCATTGAAGTCAGTGGGACACGTTTTTGTATTAAAGTCAATGGGAAGTGATTTTGCATTGAAGTAAATGGGATGCGGTTTTGCATTGAAGTCTGCGGTTTTGCATTGATGCAGTTTTGCATTGAAGTCAGCAGAACGCGATTTTGCATTGAAGTCAGTTATCATTATCGGCACCGCCCCCATCTGCAAAACGCCGATAACGCTATTTTCGGTGCACAATATATCGGTGCATCACTGGCTAGAAATGTTTGTAATCTGCCATGAAGCTGCCTCTTCTGAAGCAAAAAGGTAAGAAAAGAAAGTGTGTGTGTGTACACTATGTGAATGGGAACACAACAAACGTGGGTGGGTTTTCTCAAATTTGAGTGCAAAAGTGGAAATATACTTTAGTAAAATCTAACAAATGTGTGCTTGTTTGTGAATTGGTTCATTTTAGAAGCTGAAGCAGGTTATTTGTTACATCTAGGAATGTGTATATTGTGTGTTTTTGCTTTCACTTGGTAAGGTTAAAACTGTATTTAGTTGGAGAATGATGAGATTGTATAGGATTGTATTGCCCCATCCCCTCCCTGCTGCTAACCTGGTAAAGGTTAGTAGCATTGTTCCTTCTGTGAAGCTGCTGTGTAAAAGGTCCCAGGGAGGATCCTCCTTCTCCCTCCTCCTGCTTCATGGAGAAATGTTCTTTTAATGCTATCACTGCCTTTAACATGATCTGTGAATAGGGGAGAGTCTGATGAATCACAGAATTCTCTCATCCATTCACAGATTTTTTGGAGAGGAAATTTTATTACATCTCGCATATTTCTGTGTGTAAGCAGCATACGTTTGGATCAGATGTTTTTTTTTTTTTGTTTTTTTTTTTTTTTTTTTTGTACATTATTTTTTATGTCATTTGGTGGTGAAGATGATCTGTTAGCCTTTAAATAATGTTAGTGCAGGACTGTTACTAACTCTACTTTTTGCACCATGTTACTTGCTGCCCCCATATAGACTTCACTCACAATTATGGAAACTGCAATTACTGACCTCCTCCTTTTGAAATGCTAATTTCTTGGTTTTCATAGTGATACAGATTTTTCTTAAAGCCTAGTACACTAGAAAACTCCGGTCAGCGCTCTCAGCCATTGGCTGACCGTGCTGATCGGGAGCTGATCAGCTGACCTTTTTTGGTCATGCCCCTTTGACAGAAGCTGGCCCAGCTGCCATATACACAGGCCAAATGTCAGATGGTTTATACTGAACTGGGTGATGCCACACACCATTCAACCCGTGTTTACTAGGCTTTACTCTGATTTTCTCGTTTGTATGCCTGTTTCAGGTCAGTGATTGTAAAATTTAATCCAGAGTCCGTGGACAACTGGTCACCAATGGCACCTCCATGTTTAACCGCTTGCCTGCCACCCTATAGTAGAATTACTGCTACATGGTGGCAGGGTTGCACAAAATCGCCATTGGCAGCTATGGATGTCAATCACTGGGTCCCACCCAGAGATTTCTGCCGACACTTGGCGATCGCCGAGTAACACTGACAGGAGAGAAATCTGTGTGTAAACAACACAGGTCTTTCTCCTGCCAGCAAGAACATGCTGCTGTGTATTTCTCTGCACAGCAGAGAAATACATCTCAGCATGTTTCCTTAGTAAAACACACATAGCACATTATGTAAAACAGCACACAGTTAACCCTTTGATCACCCCAGATGTTAACCCCTTCCTGCCCAGTGTCATTAGTATAGTGTCAGTGCTTTTTATTAGCACTGATCACTGTATCACTATCATTGGGATGTCCGTGGCAGTTTGTCAGTTCCATGCAAATGGGAAGAAGGGTTGGCTGCACACTGGGGGAATGATGAAAAACGTGCAAATAATTTATCGATCTATAGGACACAAAAAGCACCAGGACAAAGGCATGGCTGTTCATGTGTTTCGCACAATCACGTGCTTAGTCATAACCCTTCTTTCTATTTGCATGTATACGTGGTGGCGAGCCAGGGTCTGCACCTGTTTTGGTTTGATGCTGATCGGTTTACCTGAATGGTATTTCCTTTGTCCATTAGTCAGTTCCCACCCAGTGTCAGAATGCCCCTCCGCAGTCCCGCTGTAAGTCGCTGATCGCCGCCATTACTATTGTAAACAAAATAAAAATTCCAGTATATACACCATCATTTGTAGACACTATAACTTTCATGTAAACCAATTAATTTACATGTATTAGGATATTTTTTTTTTTTTTAGCAGACATGTAACAGAATACATTTTTGCCTAAATTTATGATGAAATGTGAATTAAAAAAAAAATGTTACTGGATATGTTTTCTAGCAAAAAATCAAAAATATTTGTTTTTTTTTGTTTTCAAAATTGCTGGTCTTTTGTTGTTATTATAGCACAAAAAATAAAAAAACACAAGAGTTTATCAAATACCACCGAAATAATGCTCTATTTGTTAAAAAAAAGACAGACATGTAATTTATGTGCAGTGTTGCATGACCGCGCAATTGTCAGTTAAAATAACGCAGTGCCATATCGCAAAAATGGCCTGGTCAGGAAGGGGGGTAAATCCTCTGGAGGGCAAGTGGTTAAATACAGGATGTCTTCAAAAATGTCTTTTGAGCTTTGCATGACTTCCAAGCAATATGTTTGTGAAGGTTCTCACTTACCCAGGTCATAGTATGTCTAGCAGTAGTTTTAAGTTTGTAGGAGGGTGAAATGCGTTAGAGGGCATGGCATCAGGAGGAGACAAGCTGAGGCCAATCTGTGCTTCTTTTGGAAGTTTCTAGTAAGTACTACATGTTTTCCTGTAGACCTCGGTGTCCAGGTCACCCCCCTCCTTGACATGTAACACACAGCTCAAAAATTGGACTTTGTTATTCTGTGTGAACTTGATGTTTATGTCTACCGAGTTTATGTTCAATAGGAGCTTGTATTTCAAATGTTCTAATCTTCACCCACATATTGTCCACATCAAGGTGTCTTAAATACTATAGATAGATAGTTCAATGGAAGTTTTGGCAACTTGACATTTGCTGGGGAAAGGTTTAAGTAGTTGGAAAATATTGGGCAGTGTCACCCAGATTAGCAACAATAATACAGTTAGTTTAAACACTATCAGAATTATTAAGCCTCTTCACGCCGACTGTATGCAAATATGTGGCCTCTTGGTGGCTGGGCCTTGATGCCGAGCAGCCACATATTGCATACCGTTTGTAAACAAACATGTGCTGAGAGCACACACACTGTGCTCTCCCAGCACGTGTCGGCATCCCATGGAAAGGTCCCGATCTGTCCTTGCGATCGGGATCTTTCCGATCAATTGACTGCCATGACAGCCAATCACAGCGGTCGCATGACCCTAAACCTGCCATGCCTCCCGGCTTCAGAAACCCCTTAAAGGGCCAGGAGGCGTGGAGGGGTTAAAGAAGGTCACAAGCATTCCTTCCCGCAAAGAAAAGCATAAGTACTTGGCTTTCCCGCACTGCTGAGCTCAGATGAGCTTGCAAAGGAATCTTCAGCATTAGGCATTTTTCCGGGTGTCTCAGATGCCTGTTTCCCTGCGCTCTGTTATCCTATCCCTACATCACCACGGTATCCTGAAGCCACACAAAGCAGTGGGGGACAAGTCATCCGAGGCTCCCTGTAAATATAAAATGCTGACCTTTTATTTTGTCTTTGTTTTTTTTAATTACTTAAAATGGCTGATTCTGGATTCCTTATTAGGTTGAGTGCACTTGAGGGCAGTAACTTTTTCACACATAGAAATGCACATTCTATTATCTTCCACATCAAAGAAATGTTTTCTCTTAGGTTCTATTCCCTTCCAACTAGATATGACAAAAGCATTTGGACCAATTTAACATAAAGGGCTGTATGGTATTGAAACATGGATAGGACGCAAATACTTTTCACTACTGTATGTGAATGTTGGCAGTCAGCTGTTGTACTGTTATAAATCAAGTACATGAAAAACACCTTTCTATAAGAGGTGACATTTATGGATTTTCAAAGCTGAAACTACACAGGCTCCTTTTTGGGTATATTATGGTGTGTACCTATTGCTCTCCCAAATCAGCTAATTCGTTTATTCTTGTTTCAGAATGGTCGATGTAGGAGGCCAGCGATCAGAGAGGAGGAAATGGATACACTGCTTTGAAAATGTCACTTCCATAATGTTCCTTGTAGCACTTAGTGAATATGATCAGGTCCTGGTGGAGTCCGACAATGAGGTGAACGTTTGTGTTTTTTTTTTCCATATTAAAGCCAAGTTCTATTTTTTTATTTTAGGGTGGAGAAGGGTTAGGAACCTCCTGTCAGATTTTGTTACCTGTGTCACCTATAGGGAAAGTTCACTTCTTTTCCGCTCACTCCTGATTTTTTTTTTTTTTTTTGGTTAGATTTCAGTGATACTTTGACAGATAGGGACCTTTGACAGCTGCCAGTTGACTTTATTCATGCCGGAGAACTGTTAGACCAAGCTGTCACTGATGGTTCCAGTCCACCTTAACTGTCAATGATGGTTCCTGTGATCACTTTCAGCTGTAACATAGTGATCACATGCAGGCTGGAAATAAATTGACAAAATAGACTTTCAGACTGCAGATGTTGCTACAACCTGAAGGTTGCAGTGTTTAATTATTTCATTGTCAAATACAGTTGCAGTAATAATAACCATTTTGGCCATTTTTTTTTTTTTTTCAGCCATTAACCTAAAAAAAGATGTATAGTATTAACTGGCTCCCAACCGTACTATAGCCGAAGGATATCTACAGCGCATTTGTGTAATCCTGGGACGATGTCCATGGACTTCATTCCAGGACACGCCCCCCTGCGCACCCGGCCCCACCGGTGATCGCTGTGTCCTACGGACACAGCTGATCACGTGGTACGGTAAACGGCCAATCACGGCTTTTTACCACGTGATCATCTGTGTCCAATACCACAGTGATCACCGGGTAAATACAGCTGCCAGTTATCGGCTGCATGAAAACTGCCGAGCACTGCCGTCAGCCAAGGGATTGGCACTGATCATCAGGGCACTGAAGATCAGTGCCCAGCAGTGCCGCCCACCTGTGCCCAGCAGTGATGCCCTTTTGTACCCATCATTACCACCCAGCTCCACCTGTGCCACTCAGTGCCGCCCATAGTGCAGCATCATCAGTGCTGCCTATCCATGCCACCTCATTAGTGCCCATCAGTGCTGCCTATCAGTGCAGCCTCTTCAACGCACATCATTGAAGGATAAAAATTACCTGTTTGCAAAAATTTATAATAGATACAAAAAAACTTTTTTTTTTTTTTTTTCAGATTTTTTGCTCTTTTTTTTTTGTTTATAGCGCAAAAAAATAAAACACCCAGCAGCGAGTAAATACCACCAAAAGAAAGCTCTATTTGTGTGAAAAAAAGATAAAAATTTCATATGGGTGCAGTGTTGCATGACCGCGCAATTGTCATTCAAAGTGTGACAGCGCTGAAAGCTGAAAATTGGCCTGGGCAGGAAGGGGGTATAAGTGCCCAGTAGGCAAGTGGTTAAACAGTATATCAAATAAAAACCTTATGTTCTTGAAAATATATAATACAAATTAGGTTAATTAGTCAGTTTTAGTTGTACAGACTGAAGCATACTGATGTTCAATAACATCTGGGCAACAAAAGGGTTAAAGAATAGGTTTAGTTTCTGCCAAGTCTTTACCATTGGCTAAATGGTGCCACCTGTACAACACACACATAATGCATTTTAATGCAATCTGCTTTGCACTCAAAGCAGGAATACACAGAGATAATGCACTTAAAAACACATTGTAACCTAAAGGGAAAACACATCTCAGAAATTTGTGTTTATAGATGGAAGCTTAACCACTTTTCTACCAGGGCAGTAGTTTAATTTTCCCCATACATATTGAAATCTGGATTATGTGCAAGAAAATTATTTAACACCCCCAACAAACATTCATTTTATGAAAGCAGAGGCTCTGAACGAGAAAACGGTCGCAGTTGCAATTTTTTATGTGGCCTAATATTTGCACAACTGCTTACTTATCAGATGCATATTCTTGGAAAATATACACTAAAATTAATTTTAGTGTAAGCATACTATAAAACCCATTTTTTGGTAAAATATGTATTTGCATTGAGATGGCAAATATGTCAAACCTTAAAATTGCCCATGCCTGTCAAAGCAATATTTTTACTAAAAATACACTAAAATCATTATTAGCGGGCACAAACACACCCTAACATCCTAAATTTCTGCTAAATCTAAATGATAAAACGGTGTTGAGTTAATAAAGCTCTGTGTAAATAAGGTCTTGGGGCTCGTTCACATGGGCACTGTTGCCTGCAAAGTGTGAACCAGTGCATTTGTTTTTGTGTGTGTGGCTGTAGCTGTGTGCAGGGAGGCTGTGTTTATGTTTTGGAGACACAGCAGCTGCACGAACACAGCCCAGGTTCTCTTTTGACAGGCATGTGGGTGCAGGTGTATGGCAATGAACAAACTGCTCAATCACACTATGGGCCAGAGAACTCATGTGAATGAGCCCTTAAAGTATGTGTTTGGGTTTTTTTTTTTCCCTTTTTATTTTTTTAAATTTTTATTTTTTTGTTTTTTGTTTTAGCAGCCCTTTTGGTGGGTTTTGGTGAAATATCAGAGGTATAAACAGTTCCCTGATGTCTCACTTTTAAGTCAGAGAAATCACCTCAATCTCTATCTCTGCAGCCTTAGCTGCACAGAACAAAAGAGCAGGAAGAGCTCTGCACAGTCTTCCTGTTTATTCATGAACTGAAGCATTGTAAACAAAATTTGCTATGCTTCAGTTATTAATGAACATCATGAGTAATCTTTAATGATACCTTACTGTGTTCGTCTGAAAAGGAAAGGACTGGGGGGGAACACGCCAGGGCAGCAGAAGAATAGGGAACCTGGAGGGGTAGTGGGAGCTGCATTTACTGGAACTGATCCTTTGTAGTTCCTCCCTGCAGCCTCTGAAAGTGGCAGGAAGGAGAGGAGGGAAATACAGCTTTCAGCTGCTACAGGGGGGAACTGCAGGGAATCGGTTCCAGTAAAGGCTGCCCTTCCTATCCAGGTTCTCCTTCCTTCTGCTTGTCAGCTGCCCGGGCCCCATACAGGAGGAGCTGTGGTACCCTCTTATCAGTGGCCCTGGTGGGGGAAGTGTTATCTGAATATCATGCATTTGTCTAGCTCTGTATTCAGATGGCATTTTCTTAACTCCTGGCAGACGTCATTAGGCATTACAATCCAGTCTGGTATATCTAAGCTTTCACTAATGTCGAAGTCAAATGCATCTTATTTGGATCAGGTTGTGTGGTTTTTCTTCCCCTATGGTTTCACATTTTGGATATGCAAAACAATTTGTAAAAATTAGATCATTGTTAGGCTGCTGGCACAGGAAATATGAGTAAATTACAACAAGCAATTTGTAGCTCTGTAAGGATCACAATATCTAATTATACTGAAATAATTTGTCAGCTAAATGCATGAAGGCCAGTCTTCGCAAATGTAAGCTAATACAAAGTCAAGTCAGTAGTGGTGAGAGTAAAGCAGAACACTGTCCCATGATTCACACAATTTGCCTTAAAGAGGAACTCTAGGAATGATTTTGGAAATTTACATTGAGAAAGACTGAGTACCTGTAACTGTTTATATGTCACATCTGGAGGAGTTCCAAAATCACTGTAGTATTCTGTATTACTTACAGGAAGATCTTTTCTGTTCTGGACTCTGTGTTCAGTTTACCTTAAGGCCTGGTTCATACCAATTTTTGTTTTTTAGTGCTTTTTGCGTTTTTTTCCATAAACTCGCCACAGTTCATTAACATGGTTTCTTATGGGACACGTTCATATCTGTGTGTTTTTTCAGTGACTTTTTTAAACTCAAAGCAGTGCCTTTTTGGTTCAATAGACTTCAATGGAGACACTACAGAAACGCTTGTGATGTGTTTTTTTTTTTTTTGTTTTTGTTTTTTTTAATGCGTTTTTTGCATTTTAATCTGCCCAGCAACAAGTTGGCAAAAAAAAAAAAGCATCAAAAACGCATGTACAGAAACCCACCACAAAAAGCACTTCAGAAATAGATCAAACATAAACTGTATAGGTGTGAACCAGGCCTAAGGTAAACTGAACACAGTGTCACTTGTGGCACCACCAACATTCTGAAAACGTGATGTCATGGGCTCCTTCTCTCCACCTTTTATAATTAGCGGACGCCTTGTGATCGCTGAAAAGAATACAGCACGTTTTCTGAATGGATGATTTGGAACAGGAAAGTGCTTCCTGTATGTGACACAGACTACCATCCCTGCAAGCCTCTGGATATCACATGGCATAACAATATTGATAATTACGGGTAACCAAGCTGGTCCAGTGTAAAGTTAGATAAAATAGAATATTTAAAACTATGCAGTGTCCTTGTTTTCTTGAGCAATACAAATGCACAGCAATTTCTGTTTCTCTTATTATGTGACTTACACTCTCTCAAAAACATCTTCCCACCTCTCCACTGCCTTATGCTGTTTATCACCTCTCGCAAAGGTTTTATGTAGCAGGAGCCCAAGTTATAGGAGGTATGTTTTTTTTTTTTCTTAGCTTAGACCTGCTAAACTGACATGTTGAGCATAAGGAGTGACCATACACAGTAACTCCTTTTGAGTTACTGTTTAGGTTTATCAAGCAGTTTTTCTTGATACAATAGTGCTTGAGCAGAAATTCAGTGGACATAAGAAGTAGACTCTTTAGTGATTTCATACATGTGCTATGTGAAAAACAGCCTGCTTTAAGTCCAGCGGTTTCCAGCGGTTGTGCATGATACAGGTAGTAGATTGTATATGTGAATTGGTAACCTATAGGGGAATATTTACAAAGAAGTAAATGTTACATTCCCCAAGTATGTACAGCAGGTGAATCTTCATGGGGTATGTGTTTTACAAGGAATTATTGACCATGTGAATGGTTGGTGAAGGTCCCATTCACCGTGTTATAAATGTCCTATAGTGTTTACTGCCATACAGTGTGTGTAATACATGTCTCTTCTGTTCTTGCAGAACCGGATGGAAGAAAGTAAAGCACTGTTTAGGACGATTATCACATATCCCTGGTTTCAGAACTCCTCAGTCATCCTCTTTCTCAACAAGAAAGATCTCCTGGAGGAGAAAATAATGTACTCTCATCTAGTTGATTATTTCCCTGAATATGATGGTAAGTCATAGTTTTATAGGTCCTCTGGCAATGGCTGTTTATAGAAGGGATAAGCTGCATTGTCAAACCAAACACTGAGAATATCCATTTTCCCACACTAGCATGGCCTGATGTTTGTATTATTGGTTTGCTTAGTGAAACAGTATTCCCTATTGGTTGTTCTACGTCATACATTTAACATACTTGAACCCTATAAACATCTAGCTGCGGTTTGCGTACCTGATCCCTAACAATTATGGGGTTGGCCACAAAAATCCAAGTACCGTACTTTCCGGCGTATAAGACGACTGAAAATCCCATGAAAATCTTCTCAAAAGTCGGGGGTCCTCTTATACGCCGATATACGGCGTGCTGACACTTCCGAGCCGGTGTCAGGGTGGCACTTTTTAGGGGGGGGGCGGCGCGGTGCCGCTGCGCCCCCCCCAACGGAAGGGACACTAAGTACAGGGGTGGGCAGGGGGCTGCTGTTTCTTACCTGGCTCCAGTCCCAGTCCCACGATGATCCAGTCCAGGAAGCGTGGCTGCTCCTTCATTCAGTTCGGCCACTCCCTCGCTCAATGTTCGCTCGGCTCTGCCTCCTCACCGGTGATTGGGCGCCAGAACTGTAGCTCAGGAAAGGCACACAGGCGGCCAATCACCTGCGAGGAGGCGGAGATGAGCGGCCCCGCGAACATCGAGTGAGGGAGCGGCCTTTAAGTGTGCAGTGCAGATGGTCTGCTGCAACCACGTATGCTGGCTGCAGCAGCACCATGCTGGAACAGGGGTCAGCAAGTGTCATTGTTGTCAGTGGGAGGAATAGTGCCCCATCATTGGTGTCACTGATACTAATGATGGGGCACTATTCCTCCCCCCACTGACACTAATGATGGGGCACTATTCCTCCCCCCACTGACACCAACGATGGGGCACTATTCCTCCCCCCACTGACACCAACGATGGGGCACTATTCCTCCCCCCACTGACACCAACGATGGGGCACTATTCCTCCCCCCACTGACACCAACGATGGGGCACTATTCCTCCCCCCACTGACACCAACGATGGGGCACTATTCCTCCCCCCCACTGACACCAACGATGGGGCACTATTCCTCCCCCCACTGACACCAACGATGGGGCACTATTCCTCCCCCCACTGACACCAACGATGGGGCACTATTCCTCCCCCCACTGACACCAACGATGGGGCACTATTCCCCCCCTGACCCCACTGACATTCCTCCCCCCACCAACGATGGGGCACTATTCCTCCCCCCACTGACACCAACGATGGGGCACTATTCCTCCCCCCACTGACACCAACGATGGGGCACTATTCCTCCCCCCACTGACACCAACGATGGGGCACTATTCCTCCCCCCACTGACACCAACGATGGGGCACTATTCCCCCCACTGACACCAACGATGGGGCACTATTCCTCCCCCCACTGACACCAACGATGGGGCACTATTCCCCCCCTGACACCAACGATGGGGCACTATTCCTCCCCCCACTGACACCAGGAACGATGGGGCCCCCCACTGACACCAACGATGGGGCACTATTCCTCCCCCCACTGACACCAACGATGGGGCACCATCATTGGTGTCAGAGCGAGGAATAGTGCCCCATCATTGGTGTCAGAGCGAGGAATCGTGCCCCATCATTGGTGTCAGAGCGAGGAATCGTGCCCCATCATTGGTGTCAGAGCGAGGAATCGTGCCCCATCATTGGTGTCAGAGCGAGGAATCGTGCCCCATCATTGGTGTCAGAGCGAGGAATCGTGCCCCATCATTGGAATACCATACTGAAATACCATACCATATTGAAATCAAATCTGATGTTTTTTAATTTTTATTTGCTGTGCGTTGGAAGAGGGGTAGTCTTATACGGTGAGTATCGCCCAAAACCTATATTTTAACAGGAAAAGTAGGGGGTCGTCGTATACGCCCAGTCGTCTTATACGCCGGAAAATACGGTAAACAACCCAGTCTTGCAGCAGTAAATTACAATTATAACTGAAGTTTTGAAGTATATACAGTGAGGAACAGAAGTATTTGAACACCCTGCGATTTTGCAAGTTCTCCCACTTAGAAATCATTGCTCCAACAGTTGATCTATTTTCATCAAGCTGCTTGGCAATTGCCCCGTAGCCCTTTCCAGCCTTGTGGAGGTCCACAATTTTGTCTCTGGTGTCTTTTGACAGCTCTTTGGTCTTGCCCATGGTAGTAGTTGGCCTCTGACTGACTGTGGTGTGGACAGCTATCTTTAAAGAGCTCAGACAGGTGCTACTAAGTTAGATTAATGAGTGGAGTGGAGGTGGATTTTTTAAATGCACAGTAAGAGAGCCAGAATTCTTGCTGTTTCTTAGGTGTTCAAATACTTATGTTCAGCAGTGCAAGACAAATAAATTCTTTAAAAATCATACAATGTGATTTCCTGAATTTTTTTTTTTTTAATTCTGTCTCTGAGTGGGAATGCACCTACAATGTGAATTTCAGACCCCTCCATGATTTCTGAGTGGGAGAACTTGCAAAATCGCAGGGTGTTCAAATACTTCTGTTCCTCACTCTATACTATATTGCCAAAAGTATTGGGACACCCCTCCAACTAAGTGGATTCAGGTGTTCCAATCACCTCCATGGCCACAGGTGTATACAATCAAGCAGCTAGGCATGCAGACTGCTTCTACAAACAGTGGGGAAAGAATGGGTCGCTCTCAGGAGCTCAGTGACTCCAAGCGTGGTCCCGTGATAGATTGCCACCTGTGCAATAAGTCCATCCGTGAAATTTCCTTGCTACTAAATATTCCACGGTCAACTGTTAGTGGTATTATAACAAAGTGGAAGCAACTGGAAATGCAGTAACTCAGCCACAAAGTGGTAGACCACGTAAAATGACAGAACGGGGCCAGCACATGCTGAATCGCACAGAATACAGAAGTCACCAACTGTCTGCAGAGTCAATAGCTAAAGACCTCAAAACTTGGTGTGACCTTCAGATTTGCACAACAGTGCGTTGAGAGCTTCATGGAAAAGGTTTGGCAGTGGAATCACATATCTATACAGAAATCTCTAAAAAAAAAAAAAAAAAAGTTGTCCTTTTTTTCTTTTTTTTTTCCCCCTTGATTTGACAAATCATGTCAACCTCTTTCCACCCACGCATATGTGCAGTGTAGAGGAGGGGTGGGCTTATCGCACACGAACTGCACATATGTGTCCATGGGCTGCAGAGCTTTCTGTGCTGAGAGCCCATTCTCAGCACAGTTGACCAAACTTTCAAATACAGCTCTCAGTCCATATCAATGATCTGTAGTCTGCCGGACAGACTCCCGATTTTGTGACCACTGTGACAGCTAATCACAGTGATCGCGTGAATGGCCAATCCTTCCTGCCCCTATGCATACAGACCCTCTTAAGAGGATGCTGGGGTTGGGCAGGAAGGGGTTAACAGTTATGTCCACTCTTTCCTTGGTTTGGGGTTAAAGTAAAAAGTCACTAAACTTTTCTAACCTTTACAGCCAAGGAAGCTGTCATCTTAGCCTCTGTTTGATCTACAGTTGCCATGGTAGTGTACATGTGATCAGTTTTTGGCACCAACCATTTACTGGTTTGACAGTTTGTGTGCCCAAGAAACTGTGACAGTTATCATTCACAGCATGCCTTAAATGTTATGGGAAACTCTTAAAGTGGAACTAAACCCACCAATTTAACAGACAGTTATTGTGGCCGGAAGCAGATTACTTAAGGTTCCATTTGACTGTCGAAGCTCAGTCATCACATTGACATAAATAAAAACTGAAATATGGGGGACAACTGGATTTTTATATTATACCCAAGTGAATGTAAAAAAAAAAAAAAAAAGGATGGAAGCTTTTGCTCACATTTATTGCATATGGGTGTGATGGTACTTCTTTGTAAATGCACAATGTCTAAATAAAGAATTGTAAAAAAAGATTTATTTATAAAGAAAAAAATTAGGCTTAAAATTTAGAGATGATGGAAAGTAAGGTTTTATTTAGCATAGCTAAATACTTAAAATTGCAGTTTTGCTAATGCAAAAGAAGACTGCATCTGTAAGCAATTGGGTTAAATGAAATACTATGTTTAAGTTAAAAGTGTATCTACGCCCAAGAGCAAAAATGATACATATAGTAATTGAACACTACAGGACACAGGCAAAATATTCATAGACACTCATCATAGGGGTTTACCTTCAGGTGATTGAACACTGGCAAAGCATGAGTCCTGATGATGGACTTCCCTACCTTGAGAAATCAGTCTTGGATTGAACTTTTTTTTTTTTTTTTTTTTTTTTTTTTAATTTTGTCCTTGAATTCTTAAGTCAACTCTTCACTGCCTTCTAATGCCACAAGTAGAAGCAGTGCATCCAGAGCATCACAACCTTTGTAGGCTTTGGGAGCCATACCCAGAATCCACACTGCATGGATGGCCTGTATTGTTGCTTTAGACATGGCTGCTCACCTTGACATCTAGTATAACGTGTGTAGTCAGCCACAGGGTGCTATACAGGTCCAGGATAATGATCTATCCATATAGAACCTAGTTCCTGAGGACCCCTTCAGGGGTATGTCAGTTGTGAAGGGCAAAGCCTGGACCTTGCATATACAGTCCAGCACCATCGATTGGTAAGACAGGGTCACCCAGCATCCTTCTTTAAAAGACCGGGACGATATTTGAATTGTAGATATAAATATCAGTGAAGTGCTGCTGATATCTAAAATAATACACCTAAAATCAAACTTTTCAGCATACGAAATAGGAAAAAAAAGAGCAAAAAAGAAAAAAAAACAACTTTGAAAGCTTCTTTAGTCCATTGCAAGTGAACAATGCCTTGACTTGTGAAACACAAAGACTAAACACAATCAAAAACTGAAAAATGCAACACAATATAGATTGATAAAAAATTCTATTCCGTATTCATTTTAATCAGTCCTATACAAGTGAATAATGCTTCAACTTGTGAAACCATCACTCCAGTGCTCCACAGCAATCATTCAGTGTGCTCCACGTCTGTGCAAAGTATGCTCTCATCTTATTATTTTGACCCGTATAATGATACAGGTCAGATGCACATTTTCTTCTCCTTCAGGGGTCCCTGTGGGCTTGCAAAGACTTCCACTGGGTCATTTTAAATACACTGCCTCCAATAAAAACCCCTGGTCCCCTTTAAAGGACTGGTCTCTCAGCCACAGGAGGGTGACCAGGGTTCTCATGAGTGTACATCAGAACCACATCTACAAAAGGGTGCTCTTCTGACTGGAAGCATTAGGTGACAGGGCGAATCATGATGGACTTACAGGGACCCCTTAGCAGCCATCAAAGTTTTAGTCTGTAGTTTGCAGACAACTTTGTCTATGTATTTGAGAGGAGACACCGATACACTGGACCGAGACCATCCTTTCTTCCTAAAGTGGTATCAGTCTTCCACCTTGATGAGAACATAGCCCTACCATCCTTATGTCCTGCTCCCAAAGCATTAAGTGGAAATTTCTTAATTGCTGGCATGTAGTCACAGCCCACCTGGTCCTTTTGTTCTTACTTTCTCAAAAGTTCTACCAGCTGGAAGTCTTTTGTTTATGCAGCTTTTAGCCGCAAAGTTCTTGCAGCAGAACTCTGAAGTTGGGTCTTTTTGACCCTTGTTGCCAGGCCTGTTGGTACAGTTATGTTTGCCTAGTTTTTGCCTACCCTTCTCATTCTTTTCTTGGGGATGTCCCATTATCTATGAATACTTTCCCTGTGTCCTGTTTTTGTGATTAGGATAAGAGGAATTTTTACTTAACTGTAAATTGGATATCTTCGAGTATAGTACAGGACATAGGCCACCCTCCTTTCCATTTCTTGGTTAATCTGTATTTCTTGCTACAAAAACCGAGGGCTCAAAGTTTGGTATATAGGGTTATAGGGAAGGTGTCCAGGGGTTGTGTCCTCAAAAGCTTTGTCAGGGTCTAGTCACAATAACGGCGCAAGCCTATAACCAGTGTCTATGAATATTTTGCCTGTGACCTGAATTGTACTCTGATATGGAATTTACAGGTAGGTTAAAATTCCTCTTTATTATATATTCCAGCTTACCATGTCCTAGGGTGTCAACGCTCAATTCTTATCTATGGAGAGCAATGTTGTCACTCTAGGATAGGAAACCTTAAGACTACAAAACACCTCAGCGTCACCTTTTCTCCACAAGATAGGGGGAGATGTTTTCTGTAGTCCTCACACTTCTTGCCCACAAAACAATGCTGTATTTCTGGCTAAATAAACTGCTTTTTTTCAGGTTTACATACAATTTTTGTTAGCCAGGTGAAAATCTTTGTCAAGGAAACAGGGAAGAAAATATGGAACTATAAAAGTAGCTGTAGATGTAAGGTAAACATTGGATACTTTTTGGCAAAATCAATTGATCTTTCTACGACTCGGATAACAAAGTTCTGGCTGATTAAGGGGGAAAGATCCAAAAATTTAAACTTAGTCCAATTTACTGTTTGACAGTATTCAGGAGCTTGGTAATGATGCACTAGGTACATTGCATCATTAATGTACAGGTTATACACAGAGGGAAGTGGAAGTGAAAAGGTTAATGTGCAGGTCATATACAGAGGGAGGATGGAGATGAGGGGTTAATGTGCAGATTATACAGGTCACACAGACAGGATGGAACTGAGATGTACTAGAGAGAAGCAGTGTAAAAAGATTAAAATACTATTGCATATTAATATGGATGCAGCTATTGAACTCTACTGCTTCCTTTGACCAGTGCTCATTAATGAAATCTTCATTCATAAGTTCCCCCTTCCTCTGTTGAGAGAAGAAAGGGAGAGCTCTCAAATGTAAACAGTAGTGCTGTTTGTTTGTGATTGGTGATCGAAAGGCAAAGGCCATTCTGATTGTCTCTGTGCTTTTTTGCCAATGATCTGTGCGGTTTGTGGTTAAAGTGTATATAAAGGCATAAAAAATTTGAGCAGGGAAGGGTAGTGTCAACTCTTCATTTGTACTGATGACCACTGCCACCAAGACAGAAATTTAAGGGAAATGCAAACTTTTAGTGTTGTCACTAGAGCAAGATACATTTTTCCATGGGCGCATTTGTGTGGCAGCTGTCTAAGAGGGGCATTTCCCTCACTTTGGTGAGCTTTCTTCTCATTTCTATTGCATCTCCAGGGCAGGAAGTGAAAGACAGACCGCAAAATAACCCTACTTTAATCAAAACAAAAAAAAAAATGGCTATACATAAACTTTAAAGTACATTGAACTTCATGATTTTAGTGTAGATTCCTCATTTACCTTGACCTAAGATCCAAAGAGGGCCCCACAGGAGAAATTCTGAAGGCTATAAGTGAACTTTCATATCAGTGTGTTGCCTAAACACATGCATGTTGAACATGCATCACTTTACAGAATTGCATTAAGAAGTCCAGTCATTTTGAATGGCCATTCATACATGCCACAAACCCACCCTGTGCAGGTACACTGCAGTGTTGTGTTAGTGCATTGAGGTGCTATTTAAAAATTATAGGCAGATACCAGCACTAATGTTAAAAAAAAAAAAAAGTTTTTCATTGGGTAACATTCACTTTTAGACTGGCCATACAGATTTCTGTAATATGTTACACCCATATTGAGGGTATAATGTGTTTACGATTTTACTTGACCCCCCCCCCCCATCCCCTTCCCTATTTCCCCTGTTGTGACAGCTAGCGGAGGATCCTCTCCTAGCTTTCACAATTAAAAAAAAAAAAAAAAAAAAAAAAAAACATGGCCGTGTGGGATTCTACCCATAAGGCCCTGTCATTCACTCATAGAGTTCTGTGAATGGGAAACTTTGCGTCTGTGTCGGCTTGTAGTTCTCAATGATCTACCATGGTGTTAAGCAGTGATTCTTCTGTCAGTGTAAAACTGCCTGTCTGTATGAGGTGCTAGCAGACAGTCTACAGGAGCCCTGCATGGCACCATCAATCTGCTGAGCACTGGTGCAATGCTTTCCAGGCTCCTAAAACAAACATTAGTAAATGCACATTTTTGTTTACTTGCAAATGTGAACAAATCCTTTTAACAATTTTCTTTTAGATTTAGTAAAACCAGAGGTTAGACCTAAACACTCAATTTGTATGCAATGAGGCACTACACTACATAGTTGAATGTAAATGTACAGGAAATTGAATAAGAAAATTGTAGACTCACCCTCAGTCCAGCAGACCACGGTGCTCGAAAGCAAGATTGTACCATGCCACCACATCTATCTGCCTTCTCATCTTTGAAGGCACTTTGAATCCAGCAGAACTCAAGGACGGGGCAACGAATGCAACGTTTTGGGCTGTCCAAATTTCATTCATTTTGAAATTGCTTGTAGACCTTTTCTAAGTAAATGTGTGCTTACATTTCTCTTCTTAGGACCACAGCGAGATGCACAAGCAGCAAGAGAATTCATCTTAAAGATGTTCGTAGATCTGAATCCAGACAGTGACAAAATAATCTACTCTCATTTCACCTGCGCCACAGATACAGAGAACATTCGCTTCGTCTTTGCTGCTGTCAAGGACACTATCTTACAGCTGAATCTGAAGGAATACAACTTGGTCTAACTGTGCCTGCTAGTTTTCCCAATCTCCTTTAGGGCCATTGAAGAAATTGAAGAAGGACTGTATTATCTATAAGAAAAGAAACAATTTGCATAATACTAATTTATTGCCGTCCTGAACTCTGTGAATGTCCACAGAGTTTGTAGTAATTATTATTATGATTTTATTTAAACTATGTGGAGGAAAAAACGCTGCAGTAACCAGGCAGCACCATTTTCTAGGAGGAAAACGACTTGTGTTTTGAATTGTAAGTCGTGCACTCACAAGGGCCGGTTTCATTTTTATTGCTTATTTTTTCAAGGAGAAAGAGCAAGATGCTTTTACTTCTGCATGATGCTCGGAAGCTCCTTCTTTGTCTTTTAATCCTTTTCAAGTTAAGGTCTCCCCTACAATAATCCCTTTCTGAGCCGCTTACACTAGTAAACAATTAGGCATAACTTTTGTTTGATTTAATTTTTTTATCTTTTATTTTTAAATTCAAGCCATCCTCTTTGCTAATTTATATACTTTTTTGAAGGATAAAAGTATTGATACTGTGATTTTTAAATTATTGACATGTATAAAGTAGATTTGGTTTTTGGTACTGTCTTTTGTCACTTCAAGGAAGATTTAAAGAACTCATATCGAGCAGTAGGTACATGAGTTCAATCATTAGCCATCTACACATTATAATGACAGACAAGATTGCAGACTGGTGATTGAAATGTCTGTGCAAGATGACCAAGACTAACAAAACAATGGAGGGGGTTTTGTTGGTTATTTAGTGTGCAATTTTTAACTTGGAGATGGGCTTACATAATCTTGGTGGTATTTTATGTTTAACTTGCACATCCAAAATGCCATGTACACTACACATTTCCCCCAGCTTAGTGCATTATGTTTGACTTTACAGATGCATTTTTCTTAAGGTGATATTGTAGAGCTGACTGAATAATTTGTGCAAAATCAGTATCTAGTTTGCCAAATCTGGCTCTTTTTTTGTACTGTACATAGACAAAATGCCAAAACTGACTGATTTAGGTTCTAATGTCATCTGATGCCTGCCAAAAAAAGCCATTTCACATTTTAAAGTAGGTATTTTATTTCTAGTATTCCATCGTATTTGCCAAACAAACAATGCATGTATTATCTGTTCAGGTAGCTTTGTATTCAAATACAACTTCTTGTGCCCTTTATGGTTAGGAGAAGAGATGCCATATACATCCTTCTTTTTTCTTTATTTCCCAAACACCTTAAAGAGGCTGGATCACAATTTAAGTGCATTGGTTTACTGAACTCCTTTCTGATAACAGTGGTTAAAAATGTATAAACCAGGGACCTTTAATTACTTTTAATGAGCTGCTATTATACATTTTCTGCAAGATTATTAACACATTTAAGAGGTCGAAGTATTAGTCCCTTAGTAGAAAATTAATGTGCAATTACAGCCTAGTAAAATGTTTTTTTTTTTTTTTTTTTTTTTACATTTGCCCTGCAAGTTGTTTGTCCCAAACCATTGGTGACTCTTTTCAAGCCATGCAGATGAAGGAGAGAGGCACAGCTGGGCGTTTTTATTTTGTTTTTTTTCCTATACAGCATTGGTAGGGAAGGGGGTTAAGAGAGATGGTTGTGATTGCTGAAGCTACTGCCTCAGGGATGCAGAGAGAAACTGAGAATCAAGTGAACACAGATTTACAGATGTTTACATTTAACCCATTCTGTCCTGACATATGTGTCTGCTGGACACTGGAAGGTTTAAACGTCTGGTTTAGTGCTCTCAATCAAAAAGTTGGCTCCCTTGTCCAAAGTTTCCTTATTTTGCTCCCTCAAGATACACGTAATTTAACAAGCGTAGTAAAAAAACACAAAAAAACAACTGTTTGTAGGTATAGTGCAATTATAAATGCTATAATCATTGTACATACATCTCTCTATTTCTATATATACACACACACACACATACATACACACACATACATACACACACACACACACACACACATATATATGTATATATATATATATATATATATATATATATATATATATATATATATGTCAGCATCCATATTGGCTTTGTAATCATTTCGTTTTTGGCAGACTGAATGTGCTGTATTGATAAATATGTATCTATGTAATTGTATTGTATGTCTTATAGCTTATTCACATTTTGAATAATGTTAATTATGTTTTCTTTTCATTTTTTTTTTTTTTTTTTTTTTTTTTTGTATTTTTTTTTTAAATGAGAATGTACAATTTATTAGTTGAATAATGGTAGGGATTTTATTTTTCTCTCCATTTTAAATACTGAATTGAAAGTTACTCTGGTACCCAGTAGTAACAACTGTTACAAAAATATTACTGAATAGTGGTACACTTACAATGGTTGTCTTTGATGGAGAAGTGTGTTCAGTTCTAAGAAATTTGAAGTTTGGTGACACCGTTGGTGTGCATCCTATTGGTTGATAAGCATTCAAGATTCTGATTTCATGTAGTAAATTGTTACTTATTAACCTATCAGCACAAGATGGGAGTAAAATACTCTTGGAAAGACCTTTTCAGTCCAAGGAAGTTCAGAAAATTTATAATTCATGGAATGACCTGGACAATTATATTACTCATTGGCTTTTTTTATTTTGAAGGGTAAAATAATCATTAAGAAAAAAAATTAAAGGCATATATATATATTTTAATCTAAACTTTTTTATGGTCCTAATTGCACACCTATTGCTTTTGCAAAAAAAAAAAGAAAAAAAAAGTATTTCAATGCATAACAAACCTAAGTATATCACTTACGTACAGTATATTATACAAGGTGTTAGCACACTTCTAATGTATATAATTGTCACCAATGTTGAATTTCTAGTCAGTGAAAATATAAATATATATTTGTTTTGTTTTATTTTATTTTTAATGATGCTGTGACAGAAATGAAAATTGACACTGAAGCTTCACAAGATTTTAGTATTTGTAGTTTTGTTTCGGGGTTGGGGGAGAATTAATGATTACTATGCACCAGTTTATTTGCAATTTTCATTTTACTATAGGATGATGCAAGTATGCCATTCTATAGCAACAAAGCTCCTTGTGCAAGAGTCAGCTTATAGGCAGCCATATGGCCGTCCTTTTTTTTTTTTTTTTTTTTTTTTTTTTTTTTTTTTTTCTTCCAGCCTTTAAATTTGGTACAGTTGTATTTTTTTTTTTTTTTTTTTTACTGAAATACATATACCTGTTAGAGCACAGATCGTTTATATGGAGAATCTTGCTGTTATAAAGGTGTCCGGTAAAATAACAATCTACACCATACCAATGCATTTTTTTAAATTACCACCTCATCCCCTTCCCCTATACATACACCTGCACACCTTATTTTGACATCACTATACCTTTGTTTGCACAACACTAAAATTAACATTACAGGGGTTCCCATTAAGAATGTGTCAGTATTCCCAGATATTATTGACTTGCCTTATAAAACTCCACATCAGACATTGGTGCCTCAAAGCCAAAGCTGTAGGCAGAAGTTGAAGTTTAAATCAGAGCTTTTTTTTTTTTTTTTTTTTTTTTTTTTTTTGTATTTGCCAAATTGAAGTGCTTTACTGAATGTCCTGCATGGGAACCTAGTCCGTTGATAGCACAAGGAAACTGTAAGATGTGTGCTTTTGGAATAATTCATTTTTTTTTTTAAATTTCTAAATAAACCATTATAATTATCTACTAATGCGCTGTACTGCTGTGGAGAGATAGGATTTCTTTACATATTTAAGTGCAGACTATCTCTATGTGCTGGTATTCAAAATGTTTTAATTTTGCCCACATGATTACCTCTAAGGCTAGGAAGTAAATGTGTGGGGGAGGAACGCATTTTAATGCATTGTTGGTCCATACAGCACTTTACTGAGTGGCGTATATGTTTCTCTAAATGTGCAAGTTTGGGGGGGGGGGGGGTTTGTTTTGTTTTTTTTTTCTTCGTTTTGTTTTTTTTTTTTTTAGTGTGAAGGGGTTTGGGTCAGTAGGGGTCAAAATGAAGAAAAGCAGAACATAAGGGCTGCAGAATGTTGCTTTGTTCATTTTTGCAGCCTATGTTGTATACAACTTAATGCTCTTCCATTACTAAAAGTCAACATGTTACCACTCCCAATAAAAAATTCAACTCAGCGCTTTGGATTGTATGCTGTTTTTATTTTAAAAACAGGTGTATCCAACGCTTATATTCTCTTAAAAACTCATACCATTACAGAAGTATTTTCTGATTATACATCCAACCAAAGATACACAAGTTGTGCTTCTGGGGGTGTATATATGTATATGTGAATTTTGGGACACATACATTTACTTTGGCTGTATGTGTATTCCTTTGTAATGCTATGTTGTTGGTCTTTTATTCTGGAATGTCATCTTATTGCCACATCTTAAGCTAGACAGAAGACAGATGTTGGTATGTGGTACACCGTTTGAATTAATGGAGCATCTGTTTTTTCAGCATTTAAGTTTGGCTTACAATTGGACTTTTTAATTTTTATTTTGTTTAGTATTAAATTAAACAGTGATGCATTATGATTTTTTCTGTGTCATGAATGTTAATTTTACATGGTAAATTTATGATACGGAGAACATATTGGTACAAATGGCTTTGCTACCCTGAAGGGAGTTCTTCCATTAAGGTGAATAGCACACTAAGTATTTCCATCCAGGTCCAAGTATTCCTGGCCATGTTAACAGCCATAAACAATTCTATGGACTGAATTTGTTCCGTGAAGATTTGCCGTGCGTATCTTTAGACTTGCAAGGGCAAAATGGGTGCCATAGACAAACTTGCGTATGAATGTCAGCTTTTTAAAGTATAACATTGTGAAAAAAAATCAGTGTAGCATACGGTTTTGTGTATATTTCCTTATACATAATGCTTCCTCAACTTTAAGCCCAATGGAATTATGGAATTTTCAGTTTCCATTGGCTAAATACAGTCCAGGTATATCAAAACAAAAGGTGGGTAAAGTCTTTCAGTAGGTTTATTTTTTTAT